AAAATGAAGACGTCGCTTGTCGCCCAGCGCCCGAGCAGGGCGTTGATGGAAGGGCTGATGGCCTTATACAGATCGCAAAATACGGATGGCCTGACGTTTCCATCCAAGCAAAATCTTTCTCAAAGGCAAAATGACAAGTAGACTGCACCCACAAGCAAACCGGGAATCAACCAAGTATGGACGAATGCAAGAGGACAAAAGGAAAGTTAAACAAAGCTGCAAGATAGACAAAGGGGCAAGAAATAAAGAGGACTGCATGAAAGGCATTGTTGAGCAACAAAGGGGTGTATTAAAGGTAGGAAGAGATCAAAGCTTGAAGCGGTGGTTATCAATTCGATATTTTTTTCTGTTTCTTCCTCACTGCACTTTATTCGTTCATCCAAAATTGATCAGGATAACCAATAATTTGAAATACATCGCCAAAAGACACGTGATCGGTGATACTTAATTAGTGAGGAGATAAATTTACCTCACTGATTGTACCACAGAGCTATATATAGCTCTATGGATTGTACCAAGGCCATGTTTTTATCATGTAGCCGACACTTTGCCTGTGCCAAAGCATTGCCATTGGCGAAAAAAAAAATTAAATAACGCTTTGCTAATGAGAAGTGATAGCCTCGTAGTCACAGATGGTGTACAATGTAGTCAATCACAGAGCAAAGCCATCAGCCCGCTTCCCAGTACTCTTGGGTGTTGGGAGACGAGCGAACAGGAAAACTTGCAAAATGAGCAAAGTTAGGCAAAAGCGCCCTCACTTGTCAAGAAATGCTTAGTCAAGATTGAATCTTTAAAGTGTGCACTTTCTAGTTCACGCGACTAATAAAAAAAAGATTCCATACCAGCCGCAAATTTAGGGTGGGGGTTCTCCCCACGCTCTGAGACAAAAAAAGGTAACAATAGCAAAATCATAGAAAACAAAATATGTGCACCTGACTAATACCACTGTTAACAATGTATGTCTTGTATAAGTTTTATCATCGTTTCTGCTTGTCCGCAAAACTGGGACATTAAAAAAATCTTCAGCCAGCCCCCTCCCCCCGAAAAATTTCTGAATAACAGGATCACACACCACCTCTTCGTCAGGATTTTACAGGAACACACGGAAAAACTCGTGAGATCTTGAGTTTTGCAAAATTAACATTAATTATTTTCCGTAACACAGAAATGAATGTTCCTGTTTACATAGAAAAGAATTCAGCCCATCCAAACATTAACTCTCGAATAACGTAGCCCACATGGACGCCGCCATGTTGCTTGTTGCTTGTCACTAACTACCTGCGATAACCGGTCGTTTGCGTTCCTGGTGTTCGAGCGGCCGACCTACGAAACAACAAATCGAGCTGTTCGTGAACAGACGGGAACATGCCGCCCGAACTCGGCCTAAGTGACCAACACGGCGCTGCTTGATCCCATCATATACGTCCTTAATTTTAATATCTATATCAGCAATCCTGAAAAAATCTTCCTCTCCAAAGGATAAAACAGGTGATGAAAATTTAAAATTTCTATATATTCAAGAACGAATGAATTCATAATGTCACGTTCGATTCTTGGCATGTTTGTTACTTTTATGTTTCGTTCATAATTCTCTTCCTTGGATTACAGTAACTGACCTCCGCAGTTTCAGCCTGCAGATTCACTCGTCTTAGAGGTTCAAAAGGGCTAAAGTATTCATTACGCCAGACTCTTTATTTACATAGGTGAAGTTCCAGATAGGAATGGGGTTTGGTCCATGCATGTTTTATTCCTCCATGGTCCATGACAAACAGAACTTACTTTTAATGTACTCGAAAGCCTTTTTATTTGATAAGAAAATTGGAATATGCCCAAAACAGCCAAATGTAAAACGTTCCCTATTTTAATGGGGGGGTTGATGATCGGCCAAAAAAAAGGCTCTCTTTTAATGCCAAAGCTAACTTTAAAATTTATTGAAATGAAGTTGGAGATCCATAAAGTACCGTTACACTACAAAGGGGCGGCATGATTGCTACAGGCTGTCGAAAAACCTAGCTATATATGCAATCACACGTATGAAAAACCACAAACATAATTCACCAGCAAAAATCTGCCCATCATACAAAACAAGACCATGAGAGGGCAGCAAACTAGAAGAACGGACCGTGCGTATATATGCGCGGTGGGTATTTTGCCGGGATGGCACGGCCGGCCAACCCTCCCTCGCATCGCACACGTGTGTACGCAACA